TCACCAGCAGAAACAGGAACTGAGTGGGAAGAGGTGAGGGAGCCCCAAGTGGGTCACTGGGCCGGCTCCATGGGGCTCACAAGACAAGAGGCTTTGGAAAGACTGTGCCTGTGCCTGTTGCTGGGAGGTGGATTTTTAAATAACAACTTGATTGAGATACTATTTATGGATCACACAATCTCCCCATTTAAACCACACACTTCAACAGGACTTAGTATAGTCACAGAACTGGGCAACCATCATCACAATCAATTTTAGGCCATTTTCATCATGCCCCAAAGAGACCTGGTACCCACTAGCGGTCACTCCCCATTTGCCCTCAATCCCCCAGCCCTAGGCAACCACTTTTTCACTTGTTGTCTCTATGAAGTTGCCTATTGGGGCAAAATTTCATGTAAATGTAACCATACGATATGTGTTCCTTTTATGTCTGGCTTCTTTCACTTAGCATAATGCTTTCAAAGGTTCACCCATATTGTAGCATATATCACTATTTCGTTTCACTGCGGAGTGATATTCCATTGTATGGGTATAACCCGATTTTCTCTATTCATTCCTGGGATGTGGACTTTTCAGGATAAGAATCCCTCTGGAACTTGACAAATCCAAAAATGATTGGATTTTCCTCTCAGGGAAGGGCTAGACATGCAGCCACTCTAAGGACATTGTGTATCATTTTATATGATTGAGGACAGCATGGCTGTGGCCCATCTCCGAGGGCTGTGCATTTTCTCAGAGTCACAGTCATTGGCCTAAGGGAGGGGTCTTTGGTGGAATTCCTGGCAGCACTGGAACCAGATGGGAGAGAACTTACCAGGAAAGAGGGCCAGAGCACAGGCAGCCTGAGGCAGTTTCCTCAGGACCACAACTGCAGGCTTTTGTCCCTTCTGCCTACAGGACCTGTAGGTCAGGAGAGTTGTCACCCTCAGGACCAATGCAAACCCTGGCTATGTTAATTGTGGGGAGCCTCCATGCCTGGGGCTTTGTAGTCTTGGCTAGAAGCCTAAACAGTCCTTCCCATTCCACAGATAAGCAGCTGGACTAACCCAGGAAGCTGTCCCAAGAAGAAGGACCCTATGGAAGGAAGCAGAAGTTTTAGAGAATATGGAAATACTCCCTCCCCAGGAGCTCACACTTGCTGACCTGTATGTGTGCATGTGTATATATGTGCTGTGCATGTGTGGTGGGGATGTGTGCATGTGTGTATATGTGCTGTGTGGTGGGGATGTGTGCGTGTGTATATATGTGCTGTGCATGTGTGGTGGGATGTGTGCATGTGTGTATATGTGCTGTGTGGTGGGGATGAGTGTGTGTGTATATATGTGCTGTGCATGTGTGGTGGGATGTGTGCATGTGTATATATGTGCTGTGCATGTGTGGTGGGATGAGTGTGTGTGTGTATATGTGCTGTGCATGTGTGGTGGGATGTGTGCATGTGTGTGTATGTGCTGTGCACGTGTGGTGGGGATGATGAGTCAGGTGCCATCCTAAGCACCCTTTGCCAGACCTCATTCTTTTGGGAAAAGTCGGGTGTTAGTCACTAGCATCTCCAGGCCCCCTCTGCCCTCTTAGCTGCTTGTCCCCCCTGCACAGTGCCGCAGAGGCCCTGCTCTGCACAGCCCACCTGCCTTGGATCAGCCTGTGAGGGGGCCCTCCAGGGGTCCTGCTGCTGGAGCTCCTTTAGGTTTTGTAAAATGTGTCACCAAAGACCTCAAGTTCTCATTAAACCTTTTAAAAACTGCTTTTGGGTATGAACAGGCTACCTGAAGGACCCTAATCAGCTAGGCAAATCCTCTGCCATGGAAACTGTGAGTCCGTTCATTCATTCACTCCTTCATTCACTCAAGCATTCAGGCATTAACAAGCGGTTACTGAGTACCACTGGTTGGCCATCTGTGCTCTGAGTCCTGGGAAGAGGAATTAGACAGGCCCACCGCCCTTCCAGCAGCTCACATCTAGCCTGCAGTCAGGATGGGAGCCTAAGGGATCGGTTACAAGCGGGAACATAAAATGTGCCCTAAAACAGGGTCAGGAAAGGAGGGAGGGAGGGTGAGAGACAGGACCATTTCCTGTGGTGGCCAGGTAAAGATCAGCAGAGATCTGCAGGTGTTTCACTCTCTGTTTCTCTCTTTCTGCTTTTGTTCTCAAGCCAAAGCCGGGAAGGGTAAGACCGCCGGGGTTTTAAATGCTTTGTGCCTGGACGGTGGTTTCTCCCGCGCAGCCAACAGGTTTGGTTTAGAGGATGTCCCATAGAGGGCGCTGTTTGCCTGACTTTGACTGCAGTTGCGGGCGCAAGTGAACCGAGGCAACACCACTCGCCAGAGGGCGAGTGAAGGGCTGTGTCCGCGCTTGGGGCCTTAGGTCCACGAGCTTTCTGGAAGTGGGAGGGGAAAAAAGATTTAATCTGTGTTTCTGGCTGTTCAAACCCAGCATCCCTGAAACTTGGAGGACGGGCTGGGGGTGCTGACACCTGAGCATCTCCTCTCTCCCTGGTCAAAACGCACACACAAAAGCCAGCGTACCTGCGCGCCCTGGGAGGCAGGACACTGGGAGAACTTGGGTCAAGAGACAGTGAGGCTCCGGTAGCGGCGCCACAGGTGCAGGGGCTGCTGTCCCAGAGGACTCTTCCCCCACTCGCCTGCACCCCTCCCCATCTGGGTCTGGTCCCCAGTTGCAATCAGCCAAGAGACCACTTCCTCAGCCAGAATTTTTCGGCGACGTCTGCTGAACGCTTATTTTTCCTGGGAGGCCAGCAGCTTTTCTGCTTGTTTCAGCTTAAAGGCGGCTCCATGCGTCAGAACTTTGGCCAAGTTTGCACACCTCTGCCTCGAACGGCAAGAGCTCCCAAAACGCAAGCGCGCACACACAGACACGCACGGGCCTCTTCGTCACAACCTCTGCCGCTTGGCCGGCAGGTGTGGGCACTGCCCACTGAACGGGTTTGGACATAGGCCCCTCGAGCTATTTCTGCAGTTGGAGAGAAAATGACTTCTGGGTGTCCAGCACCCAGTGTTGGGTGACCTTGGCCCGGTCTCCTCCTCTCTGGGAGCCTGTTTCTATCTGTAAAACCTGAGTGTGAGATCCACTCTGTTCGAATCTCAGGGCTGTAACTGGCTCCAATCAGATTTTTGGATGGAATAGGGTTTTATATTCCAGTAAAGCCCTGTACAAACTCAAGGGAGTAATGAGAATGAGAATAATAATTGTTTATGGAAGTACCATTTACAATGCTTCCAGGTTCCCAAAGCAAATCAATATAGGGCTCACTACTGTAGGTGAATGTTTGGTGAAAGAAGTGTTAAATGTGCCATTCGAGGTTTGGTGGGGGAGGGTCTGAAGCCCCAGATCGGAAAATAAAACATACCCACTTCTCAACTGGGTAACCAAAGCGGTCGCGCCTGCCAATGCAAGGCAGCCTTGAGTTAGGTGAGGGCTTGATCTAACAAAAAAAAGGCGATGGTAAAGGAAGGGGCCACAAAAAGACCTCGGGTATATGGAAGCTCACAATGGGTGGAGGGGAGTGACGGCCACTTTTCCACCTTTCTCTGACCAGGGAGCTGTTCTTGGGAAGGGACCCCACAAGTAATTCTGGTTTATTTGATGCTTAAGTTTAGAGTCTTAGATGCCTGTTTTCCGGCTTTCTTGTGCAATTTGGGGAGTCGTTTTTAAAGTCCATGGAGTAGAGTAACCGTCCGCACAGCTCACAGGTCCAGCAGGGTTCTCTAGGGACTTGACGGCAGGCGGGACGTGCTGCGGTGTCGCTGCCAAAGCCGCCACAGAGGAAGGTACGCCATTGTGCCTTCGGTTCGCACTGCTCCTCTTAAAGCGTTAGGCAGCTCCAAAGGCTGGCCAGAGAGACTTCCCGGGAGAAAATGCAGTCTTCGGGGCAGCGGGCTCAGAGTTGCTCGTCAAGGTTTGGGTCCCGGCGACCAGAGGAAAAGAATGCCCTGCAGAGCGTAGCCGTCGGTGCCGAGATGCCGCTGCCCCACCGCCCCACCAAGTGACGCGCGGGCGTCAGCCTGTTCTGCGCGCACACCTGGGTGCGCAGAGAGGCACAACCGCTCACGCTCTCCGGGGAAGGCTCACTCTTCGGTTTCCCAAGGCCAAAGGCCAAGGCCATGCGGATTTCTGAGACGGCTGACGCAGTGCAAGGACTTACACCCCGATTCCCTTCCTATCGACTAGATGGTGGGTGGGGAACCCAAATCCCCCTCTTCCTGGCCGCGCCTTTAGCAAGCTTTAGGGAAAATGCTGAGGTCGCTGGACCCCCAAAGGGTAGGAAAGTGCTGAGTTCACCGCGGGCCGGAGGCCGAGTCCTGCCTCCTGGGTCGGCGCTGCGTGGCTCTCCAGCTGAGTCGGGGCGGAGGGCCCCTGCCAAACCCCTGGGGGCGGGGAAGAGGCAGCTGCGAGCACGGATAACCCCGAGGTGACCCGGGCGGGCCTGGACCGCCCCTTCCCCCTCCCGCGGGCCATGCAGCTGGAAGCGGGTCCCCGAGCTGCAGGGGGGAGAGGGAGGCGCGGGCTCCGGTAGCCGCGGCTGTCAGTGCGCTCCGGCCGGGGGCGCCGCCGGCTCAGCGTCCCTAGCTCGCCTCCTGCGCTCGCCGGAGCGCTCCGAGTGCCTCTTTAGCAGGAGCCAATATCCTTTTGTGCTAATAGGCTTGTCCTCATTTGCTGCCTAATTGGACTATATAAAGCCAATAATAGGCGGGCTCTTGTAGCCCGAAGCCAAAGCGCCAAAATCCGAGGGAAGGCGAGGAGGGGGCAGTGGCGGAGGCGGCTGCGGGACCCGGGCTCGGCTGCGCCTTCGCCTGCCTAATCCCATTTGCCATTGTACGCGCCCAATCGCCGTATACTCCCCGCATTTAACTTGGATGACATTTTGATTTCATCATTAGCATCCGGCGCCGGATTGACGCAGCCCCAAGCCGGGGACTGCTCTAGCCGCCTCCTCCCCGGGAGCTGCAGCCGCCGCCTTGCCGCCTCGCTCCCTCGGTGCCGCTACGGGGCCGCTCCCCGCCCCTCAGCACCCCTCCCCCATGCGAGCCAGCCCCGGCCGTGTCCTCACCCCGCCCTCCTGCCGTTGGATTTGCGCCCGGGGCGGCCCCCGACTTTGCGCCCCGTAGTTGAGTTCCGTTTATGGTCTGATTTCCGGCGCCCGTCTGCTCGCCCGGCCGCCTGCCTGTCCCGTTCCCTCCCTCCCGGGGACCCGGAGGAGAGGGGACAATGCCGGAGCCCGGGCCGGACGCCCCCGGCACCGCTAGCGCGCAGCCCCCGCCGCCGCCGCCCCCGCCTCCCGCGCCCAAGGAGTCCCCATTCTCCATCAAGAACCTGCTCAACGGAGACCACCACCGGCCGCCCCCTAAGCCGCAGCCGCCCCCACGGACGCTCTTCGCTCCGGCCTCGGCCGCCGCCGCCGCCGCCGCCGCCGCTGCCGCTGCGGCCAAGGGGGCCCTGGAGGGCGCCGCGGGCTTCGCGCTCTCGCAGGTGGGCGACCTGGCTTTCCCCCGCTTTGAGATCCCGGCGCAGAGGTTTGCCCTGCCCGCGCACTACCTGGAGCGCTCCCCGGCCTGGTGGTACCCCTACACCCTGACCCCCGCCGGCGGCCACCTCCCACGACCTGAAGGTACCGACCTCTCTTTGAACTTTCGTTGTCCTCCCTGCGCGCCTGTCCCAGTCCGGTCCGCGCTGCCTTCCACCGCAGCCCTGGGACCCCCGCACCCTCAAACGCGCTGTTTGGCCGGCTTCCTCCGTCCCCTGGCTTGCAACTCCTGCCCGCGCGCTCTGTTGCGCTGCTAGAGAATCCAATCCCACTTGGTGAGAAAAGAAATGGAGTTGGAGTCCGGGGCGCGGCGCTTCCCGGGAAAGTGGCCTCGGGCATGAATGGGGAGGCTTCAGGTGGCTGGGACTGGGGACCTGGCCTGGATGGAGGGAGTGAATCTCCGCGGGCCCCCGGCGAGGGAACTGAGGGAAAGAAAGGAACCGGCCGTGCTGCCCACTCCGGGTCTCCCTAGCCTCTCCTCGGGAGAAGGTTGGATGCCAGGATGTGGCACCCCTCTTCTGGCCCAGCCGGGAAGGAGGAGGCCCGCGGGAATGGTGAGGTCTCGAGGCCTGGGGCCCAGAGGCCGGCGCGGGTTGAGCCTGCCGCTCCCAGGCGCCAGGCCTCGCTGAAGGCTGTGTCCGTGTGCGTGTGTGTGCGTCCGTCTGTCTGTCTCTCTCCAGCCTCGGAGAAGGCCCTGCTACGAGACTCCTCCCCCGCCTCGGGCACCGACCGCGACTCCCCGGAGCCGCTGCTTAAAGCCGACCCGGACCACAAGGAGCTGGACTCCAAGAGCCCGGACGAGATCATTCTGGAGGAGAGCGACTCGGAGGAAGGCAAGAAGGAGGGCGAGGCGGCGCCGGGCGCGGCCGGGGCGAGCGTGGGAGCGGCGGCGGCGACGCCGGGCGCCGAGGACTGGAAGAAGGGCGCGGAGAGCCCGGAGAAGAAGCCCGCGTGCCGCAAGAAGAAGACGCGCACGGTCTTCTCGCGCAGCCAGGTCTTCCAGCTCGAGTCCACCTTCGACATGAAGCGCTACCTGAGCAGCTCGGAGCGCGCCGGCCTGGCCGCGTCGCTGCACCTCACCGAGACGCAGGTCAAGATCTGGTTCCAGAACCGCCGCAACAAGTGGAAGCGGCAGCTGGCAGCCGAGCTGGAGGCGGCCAACCTGAGCCACGCCGCGGCGCAGCGCATCGTACGGGTGCCCATCCTCTATCACGAGAACTCGGCGGCCGAGGGCGCCGCGGCCGCGGCCGCGGGGGCCCCGGTGCCAGTCAGCCAGCCGCTGCTCACCTTCCCGCACCCCGTGTATTACTCTCACCCGGTGGTCTCGTCCGTGCCGCTGCTCCGGCCCGTCTGAGGCCCGAGAGGGGAGGAGGAGGGAGCACCCGGCCCCCTTCCCAGACCCCAGAGGAGACTGGGCCGGGCCGAGGGCGCAGAGACGTCCAGCGGCCTTCGGGAACCGGGGCTTCGGCGCGCGGCTCCGGCCTCCCCTCCCCCAATCGGTAGCGTTTTTGTAAGTATTTGCAATGCATTTTCGTGCAATTCACCCCTAATGGATTTGAGGCGCTTCCCCTCTTACTTTTGGTTTTGGTTTATATTAAGAGAAAGCAGGAAAAAGACAAAATTTCCAGGTCAAATATTTCGGCTGAAAAAGCTTTTGCAAAATGTGCCGCCCTCCCCAACCCCCGCCCCCAGTTTGCCTTGCGCGGTGGCTTTTTGGGTTTTATTTTTATGGAAGGAAAGTAAGCGCAAATCCTGAACCCCTCTAATTGATTCATTTTCTATAGAACTATTTTCAGAAGTCGAGAGAGAGAGAGAGAGAGAGGGAGAGAGGGAGAAATTCACGTTGTAGTACTTTTATTTCTGAATTTCTGGGTGTGGTTCTTCCTCTCCACTCCCAATCAGATATTCCCCAGTTTTCAGAACCTGAGCAGCCTCTCATAAGAACCCCGACTCAGGCCACTTTTCTCTCCCCGGCAGAGGTCTGTCGCAATTGACCTCTTCATCTGTCCTTTTTGGGACCGATGAATTCTCTAAGTGTTTAAAGGGAAAAGACGAGGCAGCCCCAAATCAGACTTCTGATTATTGAAACAACTCCACATCTGGCCTGGTGTGGACGGTCTTATTTATTAGCAGGCTATATTTGGGGAATTTCATTTGTTGGTAAATTATTATTAATGTTACCTTTATTACTTTGTTCCCTATTTTGAGAGAATATTTCAATATTAAAAAAACCTTATCTTTTATCCTCTCCACCTACCGTTTTGTTCTGCAGTAACTGTTGTACTTTTGACCTGTGCAATATTGAACAAAATTTCCTGAGAGCCTGCTTCTTCCTCCACGGAGAGAAGCAGATGTCTTCAATGCATAATTCCGGTCATTCGTTTATGAGGAAGAAATTAAGAAGGGGAAAGGGGGGAAGGAAGGAAACAAGGATAGGTAGCAATGCTCAAAGGAGTAAGATAGGCATACCGGAGCGCTTTAAGTGAAAGACAATCAATTTAGGAGAATTTTAACTTATTTGATAAATGTACAGATTTCTTGTAAAGTTCACCCTCAACTCCTCAGGGCTCCTTGCTCTGCCACCCAATCCGTTTTCTTTCTGTCGGCTACACCTGTTGTTCTGCGATAGTGTGTCCCTCCCACCCATCTCCCTCACCTCTGCCCGGATTCAGTCGCTTTTTAAGAAAAAGAGGGGAAAAAATCACAAAATATTGTTACACTTAATGTTGTCGTGAAATGGAATTATTAAAAAGAAAAGAAAAGCGAGGCATTTCCTGTTGCCAGAGTGTGTAACTTTGGACGATTTTCCCCAGAGCAGGTATCTGCGAACTCTCTTCTGCCTCGCTCTCTGGCTGCCTCTGCAATGGCCGAGTCCGACCTGGACGCACATCCCTATAATCCAGGAGGCGGCGGAGACAGAGGCGGCTTTGTTCGCGACCAGATCCGCTCTCTCCGTACCGTACGCCTCTTGAAACGCCCTGTGAGCAAGGGAAGAATGCAGGGCGGAACGGGTGAGGACCTGGGCTTATCTAGTTTGCGGAATTGAGCGCAGCGACAGCCGCAAGCTCAGAGACCGCTGGTATTTCCGATCGCAGGGCAGCAGCCTCGCATTCCGTTCCCAGACCGCGGGGTCCTTTGGGAGCCGCGAGCTTTTGGGCAGAACATCCCTGAGCACTCACTGGGCCGGAGCGGGGTCGGCTCCGGCTGCCTCCAGGGTCGGGGGAGGGAAGAAGGGAGTGAACTTGGAGTTTAGCTGCGGCCCGAGGCAGATCGCGATGTCCAGCTGGGAGAGGCCAGGCTGCGAGCGGGCGACCCCAGGGAGGCCAAACAGGCCTAGGGACGGCGGCTCCCAGCTCCGGGACAGGGAGGCCTCCGCAAGCCTGGAGCAACTGTGGCTCCCGGGGCGGCTAGGGTGTGGGCGCGGTCATGGTGAGTCCAGTGCCGGGGAGCAGAGACCACCCGACTGCGGCGGCGACAACCGAGAGGACTTTGCCTCCTCCCGGGCAGATCCTTTTCTGTGCACCGCGCCCAAAGGCTCACGGGCGCAGGGTTTCTCTGGGCCCTGTACCCCGATCCCGGCAGCCGCCGGGAAGTGCAGCGCTAGCGGTTCCCAAGCTCCTGCCGGGCGCCGGGCCTCCGCGCACCGGGTGGGCGGCCTGCCGAGCGCGGCGCTCCCGGAGCTGCTCGAGAGCGCGGGCCCGGTGGGCGGAAGCAGGTGCTTGGGCGCCCCTTGCCAACGCGGCGCGACTGCCTGCCTTAGGGCTTGGGGTCTGCACGCCCAGCTCCTGGCAGGGCGCGTTTGAAGCTGGGGAGCCGAGAAAGGGGAGACGGTGAAGATCCCTGTGAGCACACCGCGGGCGCGTCCGCTGGGGAGCGCCTGCACGCGCTCTCATTCCCTCTCCCAGAGCTTTACAGTTGCAGTTGCTCAAACCCAATCCACACGATTGATTCTTCTGTGGCTGAAACGTCAAGTATCGTTTCCTATGGATGGGAAACTGCCTCCGAATAAACTGGCATGTGTAGTTATGGCAAAATTTAGCCTGGACCTCAGTGAAGATGGATCTCCCTTTATTTTCCTCTGGTTTGGGATAAAAACGAGGGCATGTGTCACAAATGAAAAATAAACAGAAATTCGGGGTCCAAATATGTCGTTCCTTGTGTTACCTGCAAACACAGTGATGCCTTTTACTGTCGGCAATACTAACTGCGGGACAGGCCAATAACAGCTCATTAAAAATAATGTTGCAATAGCAAACACGTTCCTAGATTTTACAGCCAGAACACGATGCTATCAAGCGCCAAGAAAATACTCCTTTATTTGTGTTTGGATTCTAGAAAATGGTTCTTGACTGACCTGGTCTTTACAAAGTCGAGAAATAACTGGTTCTCCACACGCACAGTTTGTTCTTTGTCCTGCTCCTGCAGCCTCCCTTTCCCTCCCTTTGAGGACCCCGTTGCCCTAGGCCGGTGAGTCCCTCCCAGGAGCCAAGGCGAAGCCCTGGGGGAGGAATGTGGCTCGGCCGTCGCCTGGGACTGGCAGTGATATGAACCTAGAAGCCCGCCCAGGCAGGAAACATCTGCTTTGCTCCCGTCGGCTGGGGGTCGTGGTATTTCTCACAATGCAAGAGACAGAGAGCACGGAAGCTGCTCCCCGAGCGCGAAGCATCCTAGGCTCTACCGCAAGCTTTCGTGTCGGGAGAGGCCAAGACAGCACTTTGATGGAACTGTCGCATCTCGAGAGCTAGCCCGGGGCCGTCTTCCCCCACACAGAGTGCTTCTCTAGGCGATGCCTCTGTAAGGATTGCCAGGAACTGCTGGAACCGCTCAGCAGAAGGGGCTCTGTGGCGGAGTGAGTGTACCTCCACTCAACTCCTCCAAGAAATCCCTAGGACACTGAGCCAACATCCCCGATTTCATCCTTTCATCTTCCCCTCCCTTCAGATTGTGGAACCCAGCCTTCTCTCCTATCCTAACTTCAGATCCTTTCCTATTGGCACTCCCAATTAGTCAAGCCAGTGCAATGGCATCGGCTTCCTGGCTTAATCCTCTCTGCATTATCCAGACACGCATGCAGACAACGTACAGGATACACTCACCCTCAGGGTGCCATGAAACACTCACTGTCCCCCCCCACACTTCTGTTAGACCTCCTAACAGACACCACATCCAGGGGCTCCCAGGGCCCAACCTGTATATGTGTTTAGCATCACATATACATTGTGATCACATAGCATCACAACAGCACGGTCAGGCACACTTTGTTCTGGGTGACCCTGGGCAGCTGGTTTTCTCTGATGGCCCCAGGCTAAGGCAAGCTGGGAAGAACCTTGTAGAAAGGATTGGGCAGGGAGCGAGGTGGTGCTCCTACTTCTGGGGCGTGAAGCTGGAAATCCTCTGGGCAGAGATGCCTCATGTTCCCTCGTCACAAGCCACCTGGGACAAACTATGGGAGCCGCCATCATCCCACTTCAGACCCCCATATACCTATGGGTCGGGGCCTCACTCGGAGCCGGGGTCCTCACGGTGCTGGGCTTTGCGGCTCTGAGTGCCCGGGAGCGTCTCCGGGCCCTGGGAGACCAGAGAGCCAGCTCTCGCTTGAGCTGTTTCTGTTGGCAACACAGATGTATTTCTTTTATTTGGTAGTAAATAGAGCGGGTGTGTGTACATCAAACAAGAGCAAGACAGATATAAACGGCCCCACCCCCGCCACTGGGCCTTCATTCTGAGCCAGGACGTCCCCTGGCACGCCAGAGCCCCAGAGTGCGCGCTGGAGGGTGGGGCGGGGAGAAGGAGGGGGAGGTACGAAGGTCGGTGGGGTTCGCTTTCTCGTCTGCAAGAGCACGCTGGGTCAGCCGCAGCCCGGGCGATGGGAGCTGGGGTCAGAGCAGTGGGGGCCTAGAGGGCTGCACAGCCTTCGACTTTCGGGAGCTTTGGCGAGAGCTGGCGTCGTAGGGCTGCCTGGGCCCGGGCCAAGCACTCCAGCTTCTACTCCTCTGCGCGCGCGGGGCACCTGGACTTCCCTGGAAAGGCCCTGCGGGGACCGGAGACGTTGCTGAGCACCGCCCTGCCCGCCTCCAAGGCTCCATTTTGCCCCACCCCTCGCGCTTGTCCACGCCCCGAGTCCTGTGACCCATCCAGGAGGCTTCTTCCCCTCAGCGATCCAAACTTAGAACGCAAAGCGGCTAGGAAAAGACCACTCTACTGGGTCACCGCGACGGGGTCAGGGTGCAAAAACCATAAGCCCCATAGAAATCCCCACTCGGGGTCCAGAGCACAGCCGGGGAAGCCCCTGGGACGTCGCCCGCCCAGGCACTTACACCGGGCCAGGCAGAGGCACTCCTCCGCCCCTCCTCGCAGCTTGCCGCCCACTCTCTGCCCATCCCCTCCCGCCCAGCCTGCAGGCAGTCTCTGCCTTGTGGGTGCGAGCGATCCGCGCGTCTGGGCGTACGCAAATCGCGGTGTGCACGCCTTTGTGTGCACGTGCGCCCGTCTGGCTGTGCAGGGCGAATGTTTACCCTTTGACCTCACAGATAGTCGGGGAGGGGTGCTGTGGGTGGATGGCGGAAGGGAGAAAAGGGCTGTAAAGATAAGTGGGCCTGCTATCCTTTGGAGCCCTGCCTAGTTACTCGGACCCGGATCTTGAGTTGAGATTTCGGACGCGCCTGTTCCCGAGCTTGCTTCTCCTGCGGAAGTACCCTGGAGGCTTATCGGGTGGGGAGCCACAGCTTCTGAGGAATCCGATCTCAGACAGCAGCGCAGCTGGGGTCCAGTTATCCGCCAGGGCTTTCCCCCCACCATTCTGCCTCCAGGATCCCGTAGCACTTCAACCGTGTGTCCGGGCAATTCCCGAGACAAGAGACAAGAGATCTCTGGAAGCAGCGTGCATCCTCGGACAGTTCCCAGGAGATGAGCCCTTGTACTCGCCCAGGTCGCTTCTTGGCTGCTGCTCCAGCCGATGCGTCTTCGCGGCGAAACTGGCCCAAATCTCTGTCGCCCGGGTTCCAAAAGGATCCCTTCTGGTTGCAGTGGACGGAGAGGAAAAAGAGTTGGGGGAGAGGTGTAGCGCGAGCGAGCGAGAGCACGCCGACAGAGAGTTGCGCCCATCATTTAGTCAGGAGCGACGAGGTGGAGTCACCTGGTGTGCCTCACCGGAGCGCTAAAGTCTTAAAGAAATAGAAAGAATCCCCTTCTCTCGTGAGCTCCTTCGCCGCCCTCGCCCCCCTTGGTGATGGAGTGCACGCATCAGATTTTCATCAAAGTTCTATTAAGTGAAACATAGGTTGCAGGGCACCCTTTGATTGAAACAGTTTAAATTTTAATTGTGTTTTTAATTTGACATATAGTTGCAGAAAGGAATGACACTGCGTCGCCAAGGGGCGGTCGATTTTCTTAATTTCTCCCAGAGGAATTGATGAGTCTATCAGGCCACTAGATTGGAAACCCATTAAAGCTCTCTGGTTAGGCTGTTAATTGGAACTTGATGGATGTGGGGAGGGGGGTGTTGGGACTCGGCTATGCTGATCCAATCTTCACGACTTTCTGTTTTCCAATAAATTACACAATTCATTTTCCAGCCGCAGATTACATAAATTGTACACCTCTGGGGCTCTCTTTTTCAAATAGGGAGCCCTTTTCCCCAAAAGCCTATTGCGAGATGTCATTTGCACCAAAGAACGAACAGCAGAGGCCCTTGAATGAAAATCGAAACATAATCAACGTTTATACTTAGAAAATTTATTGAGATCATTTTCTCTGGTATTTCCTTATTTTAAAGTTTGGACGCGCCATATATCATAATCCACTCGCGTAAAGGGGGGGTCAGCCTGTGTTTAATATTTATCGAAGCTTGATTCCAAGATCAAACTTGTTTATGACTTCATCTGTCATTTCGGAGGGAGCCTTCTTCTACTATTACCCGGCTCAGCCAGCCTATTTCCCAACTGCCGCAGAGAAGAGAGGATCAATTTTTATTACGCTCCTCGGCAAGTTTGCTCTGGGCCACTTTAATATCGAGCAGTGGCATAATCTCGGGACCTAAACTTTAAGCGTCTTTTCAGTCTCGGAAAGTTTATCATTTCTTGGAACCCGTTTATGCCTAATTCCTAGGAAGGGTGGGGAGCATCCCAAAGATGATGAGGGGCCTTCCTCCTGGGTAGGGGTTGTTGATCTGACTGGAGTAGGGCGGGGCGCAGCTATCCGGAGGCTTGGAGGTTGGGGTGGGAGGTGAGACTGAGTTGAAGAATTGCCACACTTGAGGGCAGAGAGATGGGGTGTCTGTGGGTGGTGGTTCCTGAAGCTTAAGGTTCCTGGGAGTGCGTTTGGCAGCTGCGTTGAGCCCAGGAGAGGGCGTGTGGGCCTCTGCACTCGCCGTGAAGTCTTAGGGACCCCCCCCAAATGCCCTGAAGGGACGGCGGGAAGATCGTGTCTTGGCTCTCTGGCCCCTGCCCTGGGACTGCTGTCTGCCCGAGGTGGGGGAGATCCTGCAGGTGCCCAGTTGAAGAGACTGGAGGAGAGGGGAGTCTGCCTGGTCTCCGCCACAGCCTCCCTGCCTCCGTCCTGCGCCAGCAGCACCACTTCCCCGGCTCAGTTTACAGTGTGTCAGTGTGAGACACACACTAGTCGGAGTTCAGTGAACGTTTGCTGACTGTGTGTGACTGTGGAAGTGTTTATGCAAGCGCGTGCGTGAGGCTTCAGGCGTTCGCATCTAAAGGTGCACAGGGTGCCGGGGTGGAGGAGGCCGCACAGGTCAGCTCCCCAGTCCCTCGCCGTTCCCGGGTCTGGGAGCTGCTTCTCCGAGGCCCATCCCGGAGGCCCAGCTGCTGCCTCACTTGGTCACTGCTCTGGCTGAGGCCAACCCTGTGGGCCCTTGACTCCACCCAAACATGTGCCCCGCGGTCCCGAGATGGCGGGGGTCCTCACAGTCTACCCCGCAGCCACTCCCAAGCTCAAGGCCAATGCACGCCCCGCCCCTCGCCCCTTCCAAAGAGTCCTGTATTGGCAGTGGAACAACCTCGGGCTTCAATCTTTCTTACCCTGCTTGGGCTTTTTTTTTTCTTTCTGAGCCTCAGTTTCTCCACCTGTAGATTGGGGGGGGTACAGATCTGCACCACAGGTTTGCCGTGAGGATTAAA